CTGTTCTAAGGGTGAATCAGCCCCAAAGTGCTGCGGCCCAAGAACCACTGGAAACAATAAACGTAGGAAGGATGTATGCATAGAGTCTGGGACTGCTCCGGCCAAAGGAACCTCAGGCTCTGCGTGTGTGCCTGTGAACACACGAGGTAAACGTTTTGGCAACGACTTTCAGACCTTGGCTTAAACAGGGACAACACCAATAGGTATTTCATGTTTAAAAAATGCAAAAAATGCAGGCTAATGCAGGCGATGCCTGTGTGAAAAGCCACTGTGAGTGACCATAGATTCCTTTTCCTTTCTGGGGACTGAGGCCATTGGGAAACTTGGTGGTTGGTGGAAGAAGTCTAGAGTCTCCTCAGGAAGTCTTCAAAAACATTATCACCCCAAACAGAGGGGATCCACACAGAGGTCTCTTCTCTAGCCCAGGCCGCCTCCCCAGGTACCGTTTGCTGCCTCGTCATACACCCCAACCTTTAGGCAACTTTCTTCCGTCTTTACAGAAGCCTGACTCAACCTGGGAGGCTCGAGAGTAGAATGGGCCTGTCCCTCCTGCCTCTTCTCCACGTTCCTCGCTGTTCCCCCAAACAACCGTCAAGCTTTTGCAGTTTAAAGGTTTCACCGCTCACTACAGGCAATGGTAAGGGCTGACAAAAACAAGACGAGTGGGAAGCTGGAAAGAGTCAAGGATGCCATAGTGACTCGTCAGTTCTTTCCTCACAGCACCAGGGTTAGAGGAGTGAACAAATAGACTGCCTGTCCTCTGGCGTTCATTCCATGGGGGAGACGGACAGTGAACTTAACAACTAATTAATATGGCACACTAGGAGGTGCTATGAATAAAAGCAAGACAGAGAGGAGGTATAGGAATGCCTGTGGGAGGAGGGTAGTTTTAAAGCAGTGTTTGACTTTGAGTAAAGCCTAAAGGAGGTGAGGGAGGAAACCATGAAGATATCTGTGGGAAGAGGATTCCAGGAGAGGGAATCACTAGTGCTAAGGCCCTGAGGCAGGGGGAACAGCAAAAAGGCTACATAGATGGGGCAGAATAGGATAGGAGCCAGAGAATACTTAATCCTGCAATCATGGTAGTAAAAGGGAAGAGGCTCAAAGTTTGAGCTACATTGACCTGGGCCAAATCGCCCCGTCTATGAACACTTGACCACCAAGGGTCACTGCAAAGGCATATGGAACGGGAAATTGCCTATCACAGGACATAGCACATGCCAGTTTCCTGCCCACCAGACATCATCAGTTCCCTTCCTCCCCCAGTTACAGGGCTCCTCTCATCTAGCTCCCATTGAGGTTGAATAAAAGGTGTCTAGAAGTATGCCATTCAAGGGCCTCCGAGAGGTCCAAGATATATTACCAAGTGCAAGAAAACAAATCGCAAAATAGTACGCATCTACATATAGCATTGTTGGCAAACAGGAACATTTTAGTTTCCGCATTCAAAAATCTGGAGGAATCCACACCAAACTGTTAATGGTGGTCATTGCTAAGGGGTAAGATTACCAAAAATTTTGACCACTGAGTTTCTACCTTCTATATGTTTGAACATTTTACAATAAGCACATACTATATATGCAAGCAGAAATCACAATATAGGCTAGTGCTGATGCAGAACTAATCTCCTGGTCCTGCCCTGTGTCAGTACTGAATAGCCTCCCTCTCATCCCACACCCACACCAAGGCCAGCCTGGTATGATCCAACGTAAGGAACTCCTACATCTGCTCTATGGGGAAACTGAGCACAAAAAGGGCCATAGAGAGCTTTAGGGTTCTCAGATGAGATCTGGACCACAGGAAAACGTCCTGGGACTGGTGTGCTTGGCCGGCATCTGTGAATTGTAACTGGTTCTATTTAAAAGGCAAAATAAAGCGAACCGCTGTCCATATAAAATGAAAACCCTTACTATAGCTACCAAGGAGCAAAAAAGAGACTGACGAAAATCAAGTATTTCAAAGTAGGCTGACTGTGAACTTCTTCTGTGATTCAAGATTGTTTACACTGAAAAAAAAATCCCATTTTAAAGAATACTAAATTGAGGGATACTATAAGAAAAACCACATTTCACAAATAAGTAGCTTATAAGGTCAGTTGAGGAAAGACAAATATCCCAGTTCCCAGTGTCTTATTCAACAATGTATTAAAATGTGCATTATAATCAATCACTACAAGACATATGAGTTATGTAGCTTGGAAAACTTTTAGTCCTCCCCTACCCCCCTAAAAAAACTCTTGGTGAAAGGAATAAAAAATGTTTAAATATCCATAGTTGCCCATATAGCTTTTCCAAGTTTAAATTTATTTCAAGAAAAAAAAATGTTGTCCAGAAACATTTTTACATTCCCTGAATTGACCTTTGCACCAAAAAGTGTATTCAGCTCTTCATTAAATTAAATACTGCTTGAATGGAAGACAGTAGACCAGTCCATTTCTTGAACTCCTTCCCATTATGAAAGTCCCAGCTGAAGAAGACAATGATGCTCCCTGCAGGGAAACCACTTCCTCCCCAAATCAAACAACACCCCTTTTTGTTTACTGCTTCTTCCCCAGTAGCAGCAGGACTCATCTTGAGTTTATCTGATCATAGACTGGAAATCTCCAGAGCACAAAGATCCCATCTCAGCATTTCAATAAGCATCAGGGAATGTGCTCTTCCAAAACTGAATGCTTTCCACGAGGCAAGAATGCTATACAAACTGCTTTACTGTCAAAAAAACACAGTATAATTAAAAAGGAAACATTATGGTGTTCTGAAATCGGTCATATTGTCCAAGGATGAAAACAGAGCTTATAGAATTTATAAGAGACAGTCATATTTCCTACTTAATATTATTGATCAGCTTATAATTAAAAGCTGTAATTTTCAAGGGATATACTTTTCGAATAATTCCTTTCCCACCACTAGCGGTGTGACCTGAGCATAAAAGCTAGTAGCCCCACTAGGTAAATTTTCCACTGATGCAACTATGGCAATTTCTAAGTCCATGAGAGCTGCTAGGAATGTGTAACAAAATCCAATACCTGCATCATAATAATGCACTTAAAATTGTTAAATACACATCCATAGCTGAATGCACAGATTCCAAGAACTTCGAATTAGTAATTGCTACACTCACAGAGAGACTGGATCCTGGTCCATGGCTGGTGTGGATTCCTTCACCCTGTTAGGGCACTCACACACAAGTGATCTGATACACAGTATTGCTCTGATGACTGGCAGTGAGACCAGAAGATAGTGTGCAAGGCAGCACAGCAAGAAGGGTAGAGTGGGATGTGACAATGGAAAATAGGAGCGATTCATTCTACCTGATACACATACATTTCATAGGTTTAAATCTGGAGTGAAACAACTTTTTGAACTTAAAGGCTTGTGTGGGAGAATGAAGTGGAAGCACCTCTTGAAACTCACTTCTTATAGGCTCAGTGCCACCTCAAAAAATTCCACACAGACCCATTCCAAAACAACAGTTTTCTTACTGGAAAGCCACAAAGTTAGTGTGAAATCTGTGAAATGGAAAATCAGACCCAAGGCAGCGTGCTTACGTATAAACTTGATCTTAACAAAAAGGTACTTGGAGCAGCAGCACCCAAGTTAAAGGTTACCCCCAAGCCCCCAGTAATTTGATGCACTTGAGTTTTTATCCTAAACCTGTCTTTGACTGTGTGACCTTGGACAAGCTAGTTAACCTTTCTAAGTGTTAGCTTCTTCATCTTTAACATGGAGACAAAAGGTTTGTTGTGAGGATTAAAATGAAATCATGCACAAATAGCTTTTTAGCTCAGTACCTGGTACACATGAGCATTTAAGAAATGTGTCTTTCTTGTGATTAGATGTGGTACTCTGACTATATTTTAGAAGCAATTCCAGTCCAGCTGTCATATCCCAACACGTTGTGATAACCATTTCATTCTATGTTTCTAGCTCTTACAATTCTTTTCACCACAACACTTTGGGAGGTTGGGGAGGGAAGGCAAGCGGTCATATTCCACTTTTCCAACTATTACCCAGAGCAAGGTGGACAGCCAGGGAAATAGGTAACATATATACTAAAGAGAAATTCAATCTTTAGGATATGATGTTATAGGTGTATGGAATATAAACAAATCATATAATTTCAATCTATAACATATGGGGCATCAAATCATAGGTAGGTTTTATTTAAAAAAAAGCAGCATTAAAGACAGAAGGAACACATATGGGCCTATCACTATCTCAGTGTTGGTGTCTATGAAACAGGGATTGGTGGGCTAGATTATGGGGAGGAGGTTCATGGAGTCTGACTTCCAACAGGTGGCTAGCTATAGTCATCTTCAGATGCAAAACCTTAATGAGTTTGAGAATTCAACTCTCAGGGATTCTGTTCAAGGTGACAAACAAGGGAGACAATTTTCTGGGTTTAAGCCTCCCTGTCAAGTTAGCAAGCAGGGAACTGTCTGCCGTAGCGTGCACCTGTCCCCACCATCCTTTCCAGACAGCCCATCCTGCCACCGGGGCACCTCCCTACAAACGGGGGAAGCCCACTAGGTAGTGGTCACGACCAACCAAGCCACAAATCCCCAGGGTGTGAGATTTCCACTTCTATACCACGTCTGAAAACCGAAAATAGGCGCCGCTTGCCACACTGCAATGGGATTCCCCCCAGCAACACCCCCCACCCAAGCTTGCACGCTTTATTAATAAATGCAAGATGGCACACGGAGGCAAAGAATGGGAGGTAAGGCATCTGCTGCTGGACCCGAACCAGGGCAGTTTGCAAAAATAAATAAGAAGCATGTGACAAGAAGCAGGTCCCAGGCTGGAGGTGAAGCCCCGGGCTGCCCCACGCACCCTCGCCTGGCTTCCCGGCCCGGGGGATGAAGGTCAGCCGCAAGATCCCAGCCCTCCGGGCACTCAGCCTGCAAACCTTGACCGGCCCGCGTCCGCGCCCGCGCCCGCCACAGGACTCGGCCGCGCGGCAGAGGAAGCCCGGCCGCTGCCAGCTGCGAGGACACATACCTGCCGCCGGGCTCGGGATTCTCGGGCTCCGCCGCGGGGCCAGCCGCGCTCGCGCTCCCGGCGCCTCTCGCCGCCTCGCGGCCCGCCGCTCCCGCGCCCTCCGCCACCGCGCTCGGGGGCGCGCTCGGGGGCGCGCGCTTCGCGCCGGCGCTCGCCGGGCGCGCCTGCGCCCTCGTCTCCGGCCGGCCGCGCGCGCCCGGGAGGCTGCGGGGCGGCCGCGCAGCTGTCTAGGAAACGCGGCGTCGGCGGGCCGGGCCGGCGGTCTGGGCCGCAGCCCGCCGGAGCGCGGCGCCGGGCGTCGTGGTGTGGGTGAGGAGGGCGTGGGCGCGGCGAGTGTGCGCGTGTGGAGAGAGCAGGGGCGCGGGAAAGGTCTGTGGTGGCGGCGGGCGGGGCCGAGGAGCAACAAGTGCGGCCGAGCCGGCCCCTCGGGAAGCGGAGGCCCGCCGGCGTCCGCGCGGCGGGGAGCGGGAGCCCCGCTCGCTCCGGCGCAGGGCCTGGCGGCTCTGCGCGGGCCGCTGCCCGCGTCCGGAGGCCTCTGACGGGAAACGCCTCCTTCTGGCCAGGGTCCCGCGGAGTCGGAGACCCTTGACTCTCGGGCTGCTGCCTGGGAGAAAAGTATCTGTCGTGCAGTCGTTTGATGGCTTTGAGTCAGGGCCCTTGTAGGGCAGTGTTTCTCATCCCTTTCCCGTCGTGTCGTTACCGCACTCGTGGGCCGCGCGTGTCCCCGCCCCAGTCCCCTCCGCGGGAGACCCCGACGCCGCGCTGCCGCGTCCGCCTGCGCGCCGGCGCGCGCCTGTGCTTCGTGCCGCCAGGGCGAGACCTCGCCCCAGAGGAGGTGCCGCCCGTGAGTGCCCTTATTCTAGGGCCGTGGTTTCGAGGTAGCGGGTACGGTAAGTGGAGTCACTGAGCAATCCGGGTACACCCACAGATATTCTCTGTAGGTTAAAAAAGTCCTCAAACAAAAAATGTACAGCTCTTTCTAATGTCTGCAGGTGCTGCTGTGAGCACAGCCGTTTAAGCAGCTTCTGTATTCATAGCTTGTCTTCTCCAGTTCTTGGTAAAGATTTCTTATGGGGTCTTGGCATGTTTATGTTAAAATACTTGAAAAGATTGGAAACTCTCGTTTCTGGGACACTAAGTTCCAGGGTGGCCTTTGGCTCTGCAGACAGTCTTGATTTCCAGTTATCACTTTTGAAGTGTTTTTATTTGGTTAGGTCCCGTTGGCCTCCCAGGAAAGTTCATTGTCTTTCTTGCTTGCTCCTCTAACATCAGCTTTTCTAGTTAAATGACGGAAATATAGAGTTGAAAGACTTCAAAACCCTCCTTATGGAATTGCCCCAGGGTCTCGGATTATATTTTTCTTAGGCACAGGAATATCTAGATAGGGAGTATCTAATTTTGGACAGCTGGGGAAAAGTAAAATTTTTCAGGACCTCCCTTACCTTTCAACATTTTTTACTCAACTCTAATTTCTAATGGTGGGATTTCAGAGGGACAAAAAGCCATTGAAGGTGCTATTTGGAGAAGCTACCTAGGTAGCTAGAGGGTCTTCTACATTTCCACAAGGAAGAAATATGGACTGGAAAGGATACAGTGGGCATGAGTTAAGCAAAATTAATGGAGGATGCATGGGATGGACGGTATAGTTTCCTGACAGGTGGTGGCAGCATTTCAACTACATACACTTGATTTAGAAAAAGCCTTGGCATAGCTTACGCAAGTTGTTATCCACTCCACTTTTTCCCTACTTAGTAGAACTCTACTTAAGATTTGATTAAAACCATTGAAAAGCATCCAGTTACAATGATAATTAAATATTAGAGTAGGACAAGTATTTTGAAACTTGCAGAGAGAAATTGAAAGACCACTTTGGTTTACCTAGAATCTTTGTATTCTAATACAATTATTTCAATTCAGGTGCATGCTACTTCAAGGGAACTTTTTTACTACAATGGCTGTCTGTAAAGACCTTCTAGAGAAATCTGTTTGAAAATTACATGCTAATAACTTCTACCTACATCTTTTAAGAATACTTTTTTTTTTCTTTTTGGGGTAATCTTAGTTCATGGAAATTGTAGGTGCAGCCATTTTAAGTTGTATTGTGAAGTCAAAAATCCCAAAACATGGGTAATTTGTCAGCTCTATGCTGCCCTCTCGTGGCGTCCTGCTTAAGAATCCATAGCCAAACGAAAATCTTCACCCTTTAAGTTTTTCAGGGTACTGAAAACTTAAACCAGGTGTAGACAAGATGTCATTCTGCATTCTCAGAATGCAGTCCTGCTCTTGATTTCAAACGCCGTATGGCCTAAGAGGAGGATTAGCCCTTGAGGCTGATCAATCTAGGAGCACTATGAAGATCTACCACAGACCTCGCTTTCACTTGGAGCATTATTCTCAAACTTGCCTGGCCTGTAGGAATCAGTTGGGAACACTTTTAAAAAATCAAATTCTGGAACCTCACGTCAAACCTATTCCAAGAGATTGACATGTGATTTTTACTTTTAACTGCTCCAGGTGATTCTCATTGATAGGAGATGTTGGGGAATCCTAGAGCTGTAAATATACAGGTGCTGCTTCAGTAGACTGCAGGTAACGAATGAGCAGGAATTTTGGGTGAAGGAACTTCCCAGCAACAGGAAATCATGGGAGCTATATAAAGCAGGAGTGGAATTGTGGGTTTAAACCTTATGTGTTGCTTTCTTGCCAGATATACCATTTGTAATGTGGCTGTAATTGGCATGATGTCCTATACCAAGATGACTTTTGAGGTAAGTCATATTTTCTTTTAGTTAAAAAGACTGCCTTTTCAAGAGTACCAGGATCACATAAACACAATATTTTTGCATGTTTGCAGCTGGGAGATTATGGTAGGGCAGCTTGGTCCTATGAATGTCTGAAAAAGATTGATGTCAGAGTTAAAACTTTTGTTCTCTTTAGTTGCTTGTAAAAATAGAACATATGAATCTGGTGCCATATGATTTGTGAAAATTTGAGTAACACCCAAAGTCCTTAAATTGTTAATGTTTATGTAAATATTAACATTTTGGAAGATCCTCTAAATGTTGAATTATAATAGTCTCACTTATTTGGAATGTTCAGGGAGAAGGCCAATCTCAGTGAAAGCTTGAAAAATGGAATATGTTTGACTTTGTGATATTTATTTTAAATTTAAGTACACACAATAACTGCTAACAAAGCAAGTTTTTAAAAAATTCTGCTGAGAGGACTTTAATGAATAAATATGATTGACTTGTAACTAGCAATATTCATGTGCATATAGTCTGTGTGAATACAATACAAAGCACAATACCATGCAATCAATAGTAGGCTCTTGATAAACATTAATTGTAAAAAAGTTTTCTCATAAGTAGTTTAAATATATTTAAAGCAGCAAGCCCATCTTTAAGGATAGTACTTTAAGGGCAGATTTTACCTTAAGCAGTGGCATAACAAGAGTGGGGCAATAAGAGGAGTCACTTTGGGTGTAGGCAATAATAATTCTTATTATCTGCTTTTTATTACCAGTAATTTTTATGTACCAGTAATTGTAAGCAATGTCAATGGCAAAATAGTCCTCCATGAAAACTCTTGTGAGTCTAGATTCTAAACAATTTCTGTAGTTTCTGTTGTTTTAGTAATACATATGTAAACTTCAACTTAGCATATTTTAACCATCTCTTAATAAACATTATATTCTACATGGAAATTAATTTAGAGAACTCTCACCTATGCAATTAGCCATCAGTAAACATGAACTCAGCTGTTGCTTATGTTTCCAAGTAAATTCATGAAAGTTCAGGGTAATTAAAGACTTGAGGCCCAGCTCCATGGGTCATATCCCTGCATTTAAACAGTAGGTTCTCAATAAATAATGGTAGTACAGTGATTATAAGCATGAAGAAACAACTTGATTACTTAAAATTGTCATTTATGTGACCTCTTAGAGTTTTTTTTGTTTTTTTTTTTTTTTTTTGAGACAGAGTCTCGCTTTGTTGCCCAGGCTAGAGTGAGTGCCATGGCGTCAGCCTAGCTCATAGCAACCTCAAACTCCTGGCTCAAGCAATCCTCCTGCCTCAGCCTCCCGAGTAGCTGGGACTACAGGCATTCGCCACCATGCCCGGCTAATTTTTTGTATATATATTAGTTGGCCAATTAATTTCTTTCTATTTTATAGTAGAGACGGGGTCTCGCTCTTGCTCAGGCTGGTTTCGAACTCCTGACCTCGAGCAATCCGCCCGCCTCGGCCTCCCAGAGAGCTAGGATTACAGGCGTGAGCCACCGCGCCCGGCCCTCTTAGAGTTTTTATTTGTGTGTAAAATCTAAGAATAAAACAAAGTGCAGACTTTGAGGTGTAATGTTTTTGGTTGGCAAGTACAAATTTTAGTTCATCCATGAAATTATTCTCCTGAATAATTGAATTCAAATACTATCTTTAATTTTGAAATTTATTCTTTTTAAGTTGTTAATATTTACTTCCAAACTATAGAACAAATCAAAATAATAGGAGGTATGATGTTGTTATTTAGTACTGCAAACAGGCCAATATATAGGCATAAGTTTTTTCCTTTTTTCAAAAACATTAATTCCATTACATTTTCCTTTTTTGTATTATAATATTTATTTTGTTTTATATTGATACATAAATGTAGTTAAATAAAAAAGAATTTTTACTCTCAGTTTCTTTCCTGGCTGTTATTATTTTATTTCATAATCATAACTGAAAATAATTTTATCATGTAGAAGAGAGGATATTAAGAAATGATCCCTCTGGGTGTCAGATATTCTGAGTACATCACGAGGCCCAAGTGATCACCAAGTGAATGGTATCCAATGTTTAAGTGAGTTTTATTATGTGTTTAATAGTTGGAATTTTGCATGTATTCCATGAGGAACTATTACTTTGGCTACACAATTTGTGTGCCAAACTGGAATATCAGTGATTATATATACATGTATTTTGAAAACACAAAAATGATTCACTATCCCAATTCTAGTATAATTATGCTAGTTTAAAACCTAACAAGTACATATCCCTGTGTTTATTTACAGAATCCTAGTAAATGGATTTACTGA